GCTCATAGAAAAAAGAATATTTATAAGATTGTGGAACCTCTTTCGTAAACATTCGGTCATCACACGAGCCCAGTATAGTTTTAGGTCAGGGTCCTCAACAGAAATTTCATCGTCACCAGAGGTAACAGAGGCAGCCCTGCCACTGCCTCTGGTTTCTGTAGTCCGTCCATCACGATCGAGACGTGTCTCAAGAAAAGCAATAACGGCAGCTTTTCTGTTTCTTCTTTTTTTATCTTGTCGTCTCCGCGACTTCATCTGGCGTCAAGGATTGAGAAGATATTCCCAACATAGGACGGACTAAAGGGGGCGGGGGTGGAGGCATGTTCATCTTCCACTTGCCTATAACGGTTCGCTACAAGAGTCCATCCAACCAGCACGTGCTGCAGCAATGTTTACTCGAAAAGACATTTCGTAAAGCCACGAACACCGGTTTCTGTGGCCTAGGTGTTAGCCGCTTTCGCATGCTGGTCGTTGTTAGTGTTTTTGCTTTACCTGGTGCGAGACTGTTGCAGCGGGTCAGGGTCGTCGTGCTCTCTTTTGGACTCTGGAACACTTATATTGCAAGTCTGTGGCTTTCGTCGGGAAAATTGTTCTTCTTGGATGAAGGTAGTCTGCTATGGCAGTGGTTGTGCCGCTTCCTTTCGGCAGTAGATGGACGTGTGCAGCTGGTTCTTGATCTGGCCCCGTTTTTGGAGCCAGGTCATCAGACAGTGATTGATTAGTGCATATATTACGTGTTCATTATTTGTGTGTGGTTGTTGTCGTCGCATACGGGCTCTTGTATACGTACACTTTGTGTCAACGCTCTAAATTATGTAAATTGTGTTCACAACAATATCTGCCTTGCATATTAGCTGACATTTTTACCAATTAGTGTATAATCTGTATTTACAACATGTACATTGCGTATACATGATGTCCCTCGTAACTTGAGCCATAGTTCAGAATTATGCCGGAACACGTAAGTACGACGCCACCAAACGCATGTTGCTCACCGATGTTGCTCACCGTTGCCTGGAGTTAGTCAGACTATGCTTTGCGTTCTCAAATATTGTTTAATGAGATATGTTTGTTAACTAATTTTTCAAAAAACGAAGATAGATAAAAAAATTTCAATGAGAAAGTTGTAGATCGGTTTTCAAAACGTCCGATTAGACAGTTTTGAACTTCATGTTTTGTTAAGTATTAGTATTTTTCTGCTCTTTACATATGCCCGCGAAATACAAAAAATACCACGTGACAAACACACTTGTGTGCCAGTGTGCGCAATGATTCTAGTGCTGCCCAAGTCATAGCTAGGCACGCATCTTGTCACAACTCGCCTGCAGCCCGTGCCTTCAGTAAGCTTATTAAGCTGCATATACCGAAGTTCTTGTTGACCCCCTTAATGCCCCGAATGTTAGGATCAATTTAAATAAACTTTTCACCAATACAGGCACCTCGTTGACGTAGACAAAATGAAATATTTCCAAAGCTACCCTTCGGGAAAAGCAAAATGTGTCATTAGCGGCTTGGCTACAACGACAGTTATAGCTGCGCTGTGGATTTTCCACAAGAAATATTTGGCCATGAATCACTAATCGTGAACACTGATCGTGTTGCTTTGTTCCCGATACCAAAAACAAAGCTTGATGTACGCCGCTTTCTGGGACTTTGTGCTTATTACCGCCGCTTCGTGCCAAACTTTTCGAAAATCGCCGACCCTCTACAACAACTCGTCAAGGATGACGTCGCCTTCGTCTGGGGTCTCAAACAATCCAGCGCTTTCCGCGACCTTCAACAACGCCTACAAACGCCACCGATCCTAGGTCACTTCGACACCGAAGCATACACAGAAGTCCGCACTGACACGAGCAACCTTGGCCTCGGAGCTATTCTTGTGCAATATCAAGATGGTGTGGAACGCGTCATTTTCTACGCTAGCCGCACGTTGTCATCTGCGGAGAAGAACTACTCGACGACTGAAAAAGAATGTCTGGCGGTTGTATGGGCCATAACGAAATTCAGGCCCTACTTGTACGGACGCCCCTTCCGAATCGTAAGTGACACCCACTCTCTCTGCTCGCTAGCGAATCTGAAAGATCCTTCGGGCCGTCTCACAAGATGGAGCCTTCGGTTACAAGAGTTTGATATAACGATGATTTACAAGTCTGGCCAGAAACACACTGACGCTGACTGTCTTTCCCGCGCACCCGTCGAGGTCGCTGAAGAAGACAATAATGAAGACTTCAGCTGCCTTGCAATTCTCGCATCATTAAACGTGGCTGAGCAGCAACGCGAAGACTTAGAATTGCAACCACTGATCGAATACCTTGACGGACGTCGCCCACAACCCCCACATTAGTTCGCGCGTGATTTGTCATCTTTCTTTCTACGCCAAGGCATCCTCTACAAGCGCAACTTTCATTCAACGAAAACTGTTTACCTCCTCGTCGTTTCTGCTTTGCGTGCTAGTCACGACGAGCCATCGTCAGGGCATCTTGGCTTCACGCGTATTCTGGCGCGGATCAAGGACAAATACTACTGGCGGAAACTTACGAAAACCGTCCGGCAGTACGTCAAGACATGCACATCCTGTCAGCGCCGCAAAACTCCAACGACGAAACCAGCCGGTCTGCTTCAGCCTTTGCGACCCCCTCACGAACCTTTTAAAAAGTTTGGGATGGATTTACTCGGCCCATTTCCGAAGTCTACGGCTGGTAACCGCTGGATTGTGGTTGCCACCGAATACTTGACCAGATACTGCGAAACACAAGCCGCCCAGCGAGCAACTGCTTCCGAGGTGGCTGACTTTTTCATCAAGAACATCGTTCTCCGCCACGGTGCTGCCGCTGTCGTCATCACAGATCGTGGTACTGCTTTTACGGCACAGTTGCTCCGACAGATCCTGTTGCTGAGCGGCACGACGCACCGAACAGCAACTGCGTACCACCCACACACTAACGGGTTAACCGAACGTCTTAACAAAACGATTGCAGATATGCTTTCGATGTATGTCGCCAAGGATGAGAAGGATTGGGATGAAATCCTCCCGTATATAACATTTGCCTACAATACGGCTTTGCAGGAAACCACCGGCTTTGCTCCTTTTCGTCTGGGTTACGGCCGCGACGTAACCACAATGCTTGACACCATGCTGCAACCAACTCTGCCGGACACGATTACCCCGGACGCAGATGTATTTGTTCAGCGTGCCGAAGACGCCCGGCAGCTGGCGCGCTTTCGCATTTTATCGCGGCAAAATCAAGATGCTCGCCGGTACAACACCCACCACAGAGCAGTAATACACGAACCCGGTGACCTAGTCTGGGTTTGGACTCCTATACGTCAACGTGGACGCTAAGAAAAATTGTTATGTCGGTACTTCGGACCCTACCGAGTTCTTCATCGCCTCGGCGAAGTGAACTACGAAGTTGTCCCAGCAGACACGTCGCACCGTTCCCGCAGACCCCGCTCCTCGGATGTGGTTCACGTCTCCAGGATGAAGCCGTACTATTCTCGTTGACTGCAAGACAAGAACTTTGTGATGTGGCAATATCCTTCAAGACAATTGCACATTACTTTCTTGCCTCTTTATTTTTCATCTCGTCCTTTTGCTTTTCAATGGACACAGACATTTCTTACTACCTCTCGTTGTTTTTCAGAGCCATGGCATTCATTCGATGCTTCTCCTTCTTTTTTTCATTGGGGAGAGAGTAATGCCACGCTGTGTTGGTAGCAGAAGACGAGAGCGAAGAAGTGAATGGCAGCTGTGGCTGAGTAAACAGTCCTCTACTTCGAGTTCCTGCCTATCGTTTCCTCTCGCGACAATATATCCTAATCACTCGATAAAGTTGCCTTACCAGTGTCTACGTGGGGCTCAGAAAGATGCGGCACCCTGTCGCGTTCTACAGAATAAAAATTGTTATTTTCCTTCGTCCCTTGATTACCAGGGATAAAATGGGCTTTTACACAGGCATTTAGAGAGAATAAATGGAACAAACATTATCAGGTGTCTCACATTTGAGGGTAAATCCTGCATTGGTATTATCTTTAAAACCTTCAATAAGTCATTTTCATTACAGCACTTCCCAATTTCTTATCGAGATTTTTGGCGGAAATTCTGGCGGTTGTAATAGAAATAAGAAAGCTCCCTATCGACATCAAATATGGCCATACATAGTTACAGATTCTTTATTTTTGTGCTCAGCATAGCCCCCAAAAAGTGACTCTCATTTATCACGTATTTTCATTTTCTGGTCCCAATCTACGTAACTGTAACCAGACTATTCTGGGTACCAGGCCCAAAAGGGATAAAAATGAATGAAATCGCGCACGCTCTGGCGAAAGCTTCTATCTGTGGTCCGATATTCTCAATCATACTGACAACAGCTCTTATAATTATTTACAGATTTAGAAGGCGTGCCAAAATGCAAGACACTCAAAAAATATCAATTGCTCGTTAAAACGAGTATCGACACCTGATGTTTCCATGGCGTAGAAGTCTCTGTTCAACACGACAAAAGGCAGTTATTTTTACAAGATGTCACTGTCGCTTTCTAAAATTAAACTATTATATGTCCAGAGGGGGTCTGGCTTCGTCCCCGCGTTGCTCGTTTTACTAGGATGGGAACAGAATCCAGCACAATTTCTTATCATGCCACCGCTTCATTTTTTGAAGACGAAATTTTCCAAAACGGTGTTCGATTGCAATATATTGGCAGTAAAGTTTCCACTATTCAATCCTTGGGAGCGTTAGGTCATTGCAGATCTCCGTTCTGCGGTACAGAAATATTAAAATGAATCAGGGTGACTATCATTTTGATTAGCATAATTATTTATTCTAAATATTGTGTATTATTAGTCATACAAATATTATGGGATCACTTTAATTATGAATAACTCCTTTCTTGTGAATACCTCGTAGTGGGTGGGAGCCATGTATAGTATCATCATCTGCGCAAACGGCCACCAGAATGCAGCGACGTCCGCTCACAGCCGAGGGCACCCCTTATTCCACCATGGACGAACCTCGGCGAAGTGCAACTACGTGCAATTTGGAGACCGCGTTGGCCAAGCCCAAGCAGCCGTCGGGGCAGTGTCTACTGAGACTTCACCATGACCTCAAGAACATCATTGACAACCCTGTGCCAGGAATCTTCGTCGAGCCAGAAAAAGGCGACGCCACCTACGTCCACGCCATCATCGTGGGACCCGACAACACGCCATGCCAGGGAGGCTTGTTCCATTTTGTGCTGAAGTTCCCCCTCAACTACCCAGACTGTCCACCGCAGGTACGCTTCATGACGACCGATGGCGGAAGGGTGCGCTTTAACCGGAAACTGTACAGCAGTGGGCTCGTATCGCTCAGCATTCCGGGCACGTTTCATGGACCCTCGTGGAACCCGGAGATGACCCTGAAAACAATGGTGGTTTCGATCCAGTCGTCGCTCATCGAGCAGCCGTTGGCCTACGAACCTGCACTGGGACGGGAGTTCGAAACTTGGCTTGAGAAGACGATGAGTTGCAACGCCAAACTGCGCTCTCAGACCCTCAAAGTTGCGATTTGCGACGCACTCGAGGCTTGTCTTCTCGGCAACTCGTTGTACCCGCAGGACCTGCAGATGGCTGCGATGAGGCACTTCGTAGAACAATATGCCAAGTACGAAAGTGTAGCCTTCTCCCTACTTGGTGAAGACTCAAGCAAGGAGGAATCTAAGCAGTACGCAGCGCTACTCGAGAGACTGCAAGACTTGCATGATCGCATACTGCAAAACAACCCAGCGATCAGGAAAATGTGGCAATGCGGCTACAAGGGCATCATGAACTGCTAGGGCTCACGGAGACTTTTTTGGAGCCTAAAAAAGGTGGCGAACCGTAAATAAACCGGTGGCGTAGCCAGAAAATATTTTCGTGGGATGTAGTCACACTGACCCGACCCGGGGAGAGGAGGGCGGAGCACGCTGAAGTCTGAACCTCCTCCCTCCTACACTCCGGGTCGCTGTAACGCGACTATCACCGGTAGTTTGGACAGAATACGTACATGTATATCAAAGTCATGAGACATCCCGCCTCATGCGTATATGCCTGTGAAGAGAGGCGGAGTAAGTAAATATTAAAAGTAAAGTAATCGCTATTAAATGCAGTG